GAGAATCTGAATTGTAGTGATTTCATTAATAAGACACCAGGGTTGAAAAACCGCTTCGCGGCTTTTCAACCCTGGCTCCGTCCAGGACCTGTGAAAGTCCTTAATTTGCATGTTTCTTCCTGAATTCTAGCAAGAAAAAAAGTGAAAAACGGCTCCTCTGTCCCTTTATATAGGCTCTTCCTACTTCCGGCGCATGCTAATTTCCCCTAACAAACAGGGTTTTACAAAAACCTATTTTTAATAACGAAAACCACAATTTTTCAAAATTTTTACGTGTGTGCAGTCGATTCCGGACCATTCTAAACCTATTGTCGTTGTTCCCTATCCAAAAAACCCTTCCCCGAGGCTGCAGGTGCGGAAGATCCAAACGGAAGTGCATGCAAATATACACACACAGACACTATTTTTTTATATATATCAGGTTGGAACGAAAGTTCTGTCGCCGAGATTTTGGAAGGCTGGCTAAATTCGTAGATAGCTCCATTCTGCACATGCGATATGTCATTTTGTAGCTCTCGGCCTGAATGGTTCCGGGAGGAGGGTCCTGGGCCCTCAAAATCAAGAACGGCCAAGATACAGGCCCAAGAAGATTTTTCAAAAATTACGAGAAAGTGTTTTTGCAAGTTATCTCTGCATAGAGACATTTGCATGCGATACCTTTAACGCCAATCGATAGCTATTGAGGAGTAGATATCGATAGATGTTGAGATCATCAACATTGGACACTGGATGGTCGAGATATGGCCCCTTGAAGTTTAGCCCATTTCTTAGAACTTTCCCGATTTCCCATACATTTTTCAAAATCCGCTCCGCTAGTCCAAAAATAAAGCGGTAATTTTTGGCACCCGTCCGTCAAATTTTTGGAAATGTATGGGAAATCGGGAAAAGTTCTAAGAAATGGGCTAAACTTCAAGGGGCCATATCTCGACCATCCAGTGTCCAATTTTGATGATCTCAACATCTATCGATATCTACTCCTCGAGAGCTATCGATTGGCGTTAAAGGTATCGCATGCAAATGTCTCTATGCAGAAATAACTTGCAAAAACACTTTCTCGTAATTTTTGAAAAATCTTCTTGGGCCTGTATCTCGGCCGTTCTTGATTTTGAGGGCCCAGGACCCTCCTCCCGGAACCATTCAGGCCGAGAGCTACAAAATGACATATCGCATGTGCAGAATGGAGCTATCTACGAATTTAGCCAGCCTTCCAAAATCTCGGCGACAGAACTTTCGTTCCAACCTGATAGTAGGATATTAGGCGTCCTTCGACTTTCTGAACGATCATAATTGCATTTGTTACTGGTCCAACTTAATACCTTGTTATCTTGACCAATAGATTAAATGTTAAAATGAAATTGTTAAAAACGAAAATTTATGAGGACAAACCTTGACTGATTCGTGTTCTTCGCAAATCCCTGAGCACAACGCTCATCGTCCGACAACCCCTGGACGTACACCCGCCCCGAGAATGGCTTTCGGGTCTTGAAAGTCAAGGCCAGCATCGTGTCTTCGCAGTCCACCTATGTAGGATTGCGGTAGCTATGACTTAAAGGAGATCCAGATACCTTGGGCTCTCCGACAATCTCGTTGTCAAACATAAAGCTGGCCAACGAGGGGGTAAGTACGATCGCGAGGCCATGGAGTACCCGAAGGAGCATTGCGCTGAAAATCGAGATCTTTTAAAATTAGAGTAGCTCTTAGTTCTGTAGCGCTAGCAAAACACAATATTACACAGTTAAAAACGATGAGATGCTGGGCAAAAGCGTAAGAGAAGCCGAGGCTTAAGCTAAGTCTAAGCAAAACCTAAGTGAAGCCTAAACTAAGCCCGAGCCTAGACCCAACAGCCAAATTCGTAAGCCTAAGCTTCCGCCCAAGCTGAAGCCCAAGTCTCCCAAGCTACCTAACTTAAGACCCTAAGCTAAACCTAAGCCAAACCTAAGCGTAGGCGTAAGTTTTGGAACGTAGGTAATATAAACAAAATTAGATTTTGGCACTGCGACGATACGACGGGATACTGTAGGCTACTGTAATGACAGATGCGGTAACGGTCCAATAGTTTCCTAGTTGAAAATAAAAGAAGGTGAAAAACATGTCTTAGTACCGGGTATAATTAATGGGGATGTTTGTGTGCCCGCGTAATGAGGTGCGCTGCGGAATTTGAATACCCCGGCCCCCTCCCCTCCTTCCGTCCTCCTCCTGTTTTGGGTATCAAACAGGGCCATCATTATGGGTGGCGAGCGGGTGGCGGGAAGATGGTGGAACGCGCTCGGGGGGTTGAGGATAGATTGCCATCTCTAATAATCGAGATTTAGGGTCGCAACATTGCCTAATACCCCCGGTCTCACAACAACATACGGGAGGCGGTGGGCAGATTTCCGGAAAATAAATGGAAAAAATTTACTAGGTCGAACTTCAGGAAAATTTAGCTTCCCCACCTCTTGCCCGCCAGTTATAAATCCAGGGAGCTTTTGCATTATCGGCGGGAAAGAATTTTTCATATTAGTCCCGATATACTTAGTCCAGCAAATCATAGCTCTTGATCTATAGTGTTTATTGCCAAATTTAAATAAGGTTAACCTGCAGGCAACCTTCGGAGAAGACTTCGAAAATTCGAAAATTTTAATTTTGATCGACAAATCGATGTTTTTGTATCTTTCCCGGAAATAAATAAGGTTCTTAGACTAAGGAATAGTAAAATTAGTTTCGAAACAAAATTGAAGTCACCTGCCCTCCGGTAACGCAAAAGCACCTGGTTCAGAAATTCACAGGCCTGCCTTCTTCTAAAACAAATCAAAGAAGACGAGGCACAATAGAGATAAAGATAGATAAGATAGAAGAGAGCGAGATAAAGAGAGAAAGACAGAGAGGGAGAGAGAGAGAAAGGGTGTGAGTGAATGAGTAAGTGAGTGAGAGGGAGAGACTGAAAACTAGATATGGAGGGCTAGCGAAAAATCGTTAAAGATTTACTTCTCCGTCTCAAGAGCAAAATTGGGAGTCGGTTGGGCCTAAAAGAACCTAATTTGCATGCAAAATAGAACCGAAAATTAGCATGTAAAAAATTTACAATCGATAATTAGCATGTTTTTAACACCTGCCTGGATAAAAACTTAGTATCATTCCCCCAAAAAATGCGCCTCCTCGCGACGACGCTCTTCCTCCTGGCCGCCGTTCAGGTTCAGGCTGGGTGAGCCCTTTTTGAAACATTGAGATGCAAATTGAAGATTGAAAATTCGCAATACCTTTAATTGTTTTCATTCTCGACCCGACGGGACTCTACGACTACGTGGGGCGTCATCTGCGCGAGGTGACGCGCGCAAGCACAGACAAATACATCTGCGACAGCCTGTTTCGATATGTATGGTGAACGGTTTCACTCTCTCTCTCTCTCTCTCTCTCTCTCTCTCTCTCTCGCTCTCTCTCTCTCTCTCTCTCGCTGTCTTTCTCTGTCTCTCTCTATCGATCTCGCACCCGTTGTCTTGCTCTCGCGCTCGAGAGAGGGAGAGAGAGAGAGAGGGAGAGAGAGAGAGAAAGTGGTATTATCCGTTAAGATACTTCCCTTCCAGGCCTGTCCAACCGGTATCGATATGGCGACGCACGGCATGGGCTCGGCGTTGTACTTCGACATGAGGAACCACCTCACCCAGTCCGACACTGCCGCCAATCCGCTCGAGACGAGCAGGCCGAACAAGCCGAGGGTACGGTAGATCAGCCACTTAGAAACAATTTGACATTCGCTAACAAATCCCAAAATCTGTTTTGAGAGCGACCTCACCTACTACGACAAAGAGACGCTCAGCCTGATTGCCCCTTTCTTCAGCATGTACCGCCCGTCGCTCGTTGGGGTCCTGGAGGTGGGACTGTTTTTAGCCCGAAGTCTAAGCTAGGCCTAAGCTAAGCCTATGCTAAGCCTAAGCATAAGCCTAAGCCTAAGCCGAAACCGAGGTCTAAGTCTGCTCCAGGATGACGTGCCGTTCGGCGAGACCCTCCTCGCCGCCAGCTACCTGCAGGGCTGGCACGCCGACGATCCGGACCGCGTCATCAAGATGTACGACGAAATGACGCTCGAGTTCATCCGTGTCCTCGATGCGGTAATCCTTCTTGTACTCCGTTGTTCATATACTCCTTTTAGTACGACTACAAGCTGTTCGCGAACCGGGGCGGCCTGCAAAAATTGCGCGACGACATCCGCGAGCAGCTCAAGAAAAAGATGGCCATGGTGGGGGGGGGGGATTTCGTTAAGAAACACGGGAAATTTACAGATACAAATGTACGCCGGGCCTCCGAACGCCAAACAAAGTCTGGCCTCCATGGTCAAGCAGTACAACGATATGCGCGACAAGCTGTACAAGTAGCTGACTGGCGTCCTGCTGTCACTATCCCTTTAAGGGGCAACACCACCGCAAAGAAACTCGCCGACGACGAGGCGAATCCCGGATCAGTAGCTCACCGCCTGCTCCACTTCCGGAAGGTGGTCGAATTTTCGCAAATTATAAAGTTTTTTATGGATTTTTTAATCTAGAACTCGGCAAAATTTAATTTTTGGTCGAAATTTGTAGCGTTTTTGATGCATAGGAATATCTAAAAGCAATGTAGAGTCGCACTCTGGTTGGTTCCCCCCCCCCCGCAATCGGCCCCTTCGAGGGCTTACAGGATACCCCCCGCTAATGAACCAGAGCCTGCTCACCTACAGTACCCCTGATACCCCGAATTTTAGCTAGGCGCCGCCCGAGTGGCTGCCCGCATGGTTCGCCAGGATCTGAAGAGGGACTATGGCGAGGACGGCGACAAAATGATCAAGGGTAGCTGGGAAAATAGTTCCTTAGCAATATGCCAATTTGTGAGGCTTGACTCACGTGCTGCGCGACTCGCGCACTGGCGACCTGGCGTCCCGAGTTTTGCCCGCTCTGCTCAACGCCAACTCGCTGCTGCGCATCGCCGATCTGCAGTGGGAGCATGGCGGCCACGACAAGAGGGCTGCGTACCCGCCACTGATCTTTGTGGGTTTTTGAAGATACCTCTCTCTCTCTCGTTCTCTCTCCCTTTCGCTCTCTATTTCTCTCTATCGTTCTCTCGCGATCACTCTCTCACTCTATCTCTGTCTCACTCGCTCTCACTCTCTCATTCGCTCGTTCTCTCTCTCGCTCTCTTTCGCTCTCTCTCTCATTCTCTCTCATGTCTACCTATCTCTCTCTTGCTCTATGTCTCTGTCTCTCTCGCTCCCTCTCCCTCTCTCTTTCTCTCTCCCTCTTTCTCTCTCTCTCTCTCTCTCTCTCACTCTCTCGCGCTTTCTATCATTAGCCTAGCCGTTGTGGTCCCCGGTTGGCCCGACATCCCCAAGCGGTTCCACTTCTCGACTTCACCACAATTTTGTTTACAGTACTCCACCGTCGGCACCGAGATCGCGATCGAGTTCCTGAAGGCGTCCCGCGACAAGAATCACGTGCCCGAGTCCCGCAACTGCTCCTACGAGTACTTCAAGTCGTTCTGTCTGGCCGGCAACGACGTGAGCGAGTTTGGAGACAATTTTCCGGGGCTGCATTCTTAAGCGGGAAGGGCGAATTTTTTCGCGGTAATTCCGTGGAGCCTTATGGCGTAACATTAGCCAATTTTATGACATTTTAGAGCGTTTTTGATGCGAAAAGTTCATCAAAAATTATAAAAATACTTCGAAAATTGTCAAAAATCGCAAATTTTTAAATTTTGCAGACTACTTTATTTAGATTTTAGAAAACTGAAGCTCCCCGCTAACAGCACAGAACCGCTTGTCATTTCTACTTCAAGGCATAATCTCCAAAATTTCAGAAGGGCTGCGAGAAGGCGCTCGAGCAAGTCGGCGTCGAGGAGGAGGAGATCATCTACGGCACGGCCATCCAGCTGTCATTCGAAGCGTGGCGCCGCAACCACCCTCTCCCTGCCTACTACGGCGACAAACCGCTCGCCACCATCGTGTTCCGCGAGCTGACCATCGGCGACATGTTCTTCGCCGCGTGGGCCGTACAAAAGTGCGACTCGTACACGAGGACCTTGCCTAGGTATCGATCTAGCTGAAAGGATCTTTTTAAATTTCGATACTTGACTGTTAGCGGGGGCGGGTTGGAGGGTGACCTACATTTTTCCGGTACGACCCTATGGCGAAATATAAACCATTTTTAGCTCATCATTGCAATTTTTTAGATAGGAAAAATATATAAAAAATTTGGCACTGTGCTGTTAGCCGGGGGTGACGCATAAGACTTCACCTATTTTGGTTAAAAAAACCCACAAGGTAGCCTTTTTCGACCAAAAACGGCCGCATTTCGACGAAAATCCCACCTAAAAAAATTTTCCTGTTTTTTTTATTAATTTTTGATTTTTCATTTCATTGCCTATGAAAATACGTTATTTCTTTTAGCAGGTTGGATAAAAAAAATTAGTTTCCCTTCTAAGCCCCTGCCACCGAGTACCTAATTTTAAAAATCTAACTAATTTTTCAGCAAGGAATCGTGGGGCATGCGGACGTTGATCGACGCCGCGTCAGCCAATCACCCATATTGGATCGAGCAGTGTGGTGAGCGGGATTATATGCAGAGGGTGGGTGGAGATTTTCAAGCGCTCTCCTCTCTCTCTCTCTCCATCTCTCTCCCTTACGCTCTCTCTCGCTCTCTCTCTTTCTCTTTCT